CCCAATCAAACCGGATTTTCATAGTCTCCTTGGCTGACACCGTCTGAGTAGAAAACAGACCTCTATGCAAAGGCGCAAAGTATGCATGCATCGTTCGGCCAGTGATCCTTACTTCAGCCGTCACCCGTTCTCCACGAGTGGGACAGATAAGTGATTTTTGATTTGTGAGAACTTCATAAACTTACAAATGAAATATTTCTCACTTTGATGTCAGGTTCGATTCCACTGGTGGCCAGTACATATTCGGCGGTTATTCCGCATCTGAAGTCGGCAGTGAAAATGGCATCTCGACTATGCCAGGATATTTCGGGAACATGACACCTCATAATTCAGTGACTGTTGGGCTGAAATATAATAAATAGTTAGCAGTATTGTGGTTTCACAAACCCACATTCATTAATGAACAATTTTTTAACCTTGCAACAAAATATGATTGAGTAATTTATTCGTGTTGGTTTTCATATTGAAAACTGAAAAATGCATAAAACAGTTTATTTATAAACAACGGTGACAACGGTGATAAGTCGATAAGTTGATCAACGGGTGAGTGAACGGTCCAGACGTTTCGGCTCGTTTTTATGAGCCCTTTATTTACACATTTTCAGTTTTCAATAAATCAAATGACATTACATATTCGTCTGTTTTAAACTTGGAAATTTAAATGAAAGTTTTTAAACAGTGGCTGCTGAAAAAGCTAAAATATGAAAATCGGAGGCAAACATGTAAGAGCTCCAAAATGAGTAAAAAAAGTTTCATTGGAAAATGTCGATTTTTCAATTATAATGACCATACTGAGCGGCAGCAGAAAGGCAATTATTTGTTATGTATGAGTGCGTCATCGTCCATTAAACTCTGCCGCATGGCTTTAACGCTTAACCTAATGATGAGTTGAACGGCAAGAAAAGATGTCCTATATCCTTGTTATACATTACTGTATCCACAAAAAACTCAAGTAACTGCAGGTCTGCCTCAATATTAGGTCTTTCCATAATTGCATAATAGGATTCGCTAAAATGCTTATGTTGTGTCCTTGCATATGATATCATCAAACTATGAAATTCGTCACTCCTGGAACAATGATGGAACCCTATGCAGCAACAAGTTTAATGTGCCCGCAAAAAGCGCAAAAAAATTATACCGGTGATCATCAACGCATAAACTTCTTGCGTCGTCGCACCCTTTTCGATCAGATTCATTACCGTTTTCCCGCATGCATCATACTCTTTAGTCATTATAAGATATGCGATTAGTTAAGTTAAGGAGTCAAAACATGACCTCATTAACGACGATCTTCACGTCACAGGATGTAAGAAAATAATCTCAACAACAGTCAAGAGGATCTATGAGCTATGAAAACAAAAATTAACCACTTTTCATTGTCTAACATCAACTTAGAGATTCGTCTTCATTTATGATGCACGATCATTTTCCAATAAGTCTATACCCAGTTATTCGGAACGAAGGCTGTGCACCAAAGTCTCACTGCAAGCGGAAATGAGCATTCAAAGAAAAGAATGAACAGCATAACTGGAAGCAGTAAGCGAATTTTCGTTGCAAAAGCCAAGCTACATCAACTGGATACAAAGACATTCCAGCTGAATAAGCAATCGTGACCATGTACAGCAGCAAAAAAAGCACAAGATAAAATACCACGTTTTAACCCAAAAAGACTGTGGCAGAAGCAATTTCAATATGCTTTATCATCTTGATAATAAGTAATTTGAGTTGTGCTAGAAATAACAAAGTTCTTAACTTCATCTTTCATGACCGCAACTCCTTTTGGGTCGCGGAGGCAGCACGTCAGACAGTGCACCCAATGTTGCCGATCCTGCGAAAGAGTCTGAGCTTCAGCAGAAGGCAACTGGAGTTTGGAGCAGACACCTTCCATATATTTACACCAGGTTAATCTTGGGCGTCTCCTTGGCCTTCATATGGTCGGTTGGGCAAGAAATTGTGCTTCGCCTTTTTTTCTGGAGGC